AACATTTCAGAAAAGACACAAATGGCAGCATGACTATAGCCCCATCTATTGGGTGGAATATCCTCATGTTCTTAAGAGTTGTTGTCATGCTATCTTGCATTTGCCAAATTACATTTTCAATCATTGTTTGCAATAGCTCTGAATATATACCACTGCAGTCTGTCATGTAAAGTATCTGAAAAACCTGAAACTAAACAGAGTTTCCAATTGTGCAACTGCATTATTTTTGGAATGTATCTTCTATCTGCAGAAGGTGATTATATAAATATATCGGTTATTGGATTTGATTCATATATAATCATAGTGGCATCTGCTAGCTGCAGTTACAGTATTGCCATGTCAGGGCACCCCTTCGAATGCATGGGGATGGGAAACTGCCTGATGGTACCAAACATAAAAATAATCTTTAAATCATCCCTAGACATTTGGTTATCTTGTTTTTTTCGTCAAGACTTTGTGAAGGAAACATCCACTGCTTTCTATGAATAGGAGGCTTTAAAGTCATATTTAGCAAAAAAAAATTGCAGCTAGTCAGTTCAAAGATTCTCCCATTACAGTTAAATAAAGTCATAGCTCATTTAACTGAATTAAATAATGTTGCTTGAAAGCATTTTAAAATAGTATTTTATTGAAATTAATGTTAGTGATTGAGTTTCAGATATTTTGCCAACTTGGTAATCTAAACTACCCCCTCCATTTTCCAATGTCCTTCTATGAAAGTTTCTTCTTAAAAACTGAAAGAAAAAAAACAAATCAAGGGACAAAAAATTGTTTGCAAGATAGCATTACATTATTAAACTACATGCTTAAAATGTTGTCAGTACAATGTCCACATGTTATTTGACCGATTTGAGAAAATGGTACATTGGAAAACGCCAATGTTGAAACTATATTACTTCATCTTTTTGTAATAGGTCCTTGAAGAAGGCAGAATTTTCTTTAAGAAGTTGATGTGCCTTTGCTGCTTTCCAGTTGGGGGAGAAGACAAATCCTACATAGCATCAGGTCAGAAAGCAGATTATTTTTTCAGTAGTTCCAAATAGTTAGAGTATCTTTAATGAAAACATGTTGAGTATTTACTTAAGTCTATCCCTATGATATTTCCTAAACAACTTCCAAATCAAGGCATCTAGAATAAAGTGATTGGCATTGGTGTGTCCGATCTGTTGAAGCTTTGAGACACATATACTCAGTTAATAATTGTAGTGAGTTGGTGTAAAATACAATAAATCATAACTCTGTTGTATCAGACTGATTTAGTCATAGTTATCCTTAAGAGTTTTGTGTTGACTTAGGGAAATTGATGAAATAATAGAAGAGTCCCTGGATTAATTTGTTTCTAGCATGCAGTTGGCTAAAAAATGGTTGAAAGACCTGAGGTGACACCAGTTTGATATGCTGAACAAACTGATGAATTGTTTTAGGAGCAACTGAATTCCAGTAATAGTTGGCTTCATATTCGGATGTTTTATAAAATCTATCAAGTCAATCTTGGTAGGGAGATGTTGAAGGTCCAATCAGAGAAAAGGGCTGTACTGTTTCATATTTGGTTCACTATATTTACCAATAAAAAAAATCTTCTTCAAATCATATTCATAATCTGGTGACTTCATTGACATATCCTTCATTGACATAACCTTCATTACAATAGTATAGAAGTTGTTACAGTTAGACAGATAGCTTCTCTAACATCTCTTTTGAGATGAAAGGCATAAAAGTCAATTCTTTATATCAGCTCTTATAATGTAAATAATTAGCCTGCAAAGCCATGGTAGAGTTAAACCCAGAAAGCATCTGACAAAGAAAATTCAGCACAACAATTTTCTTATCATGGGACTCAAATGATGGGTTTTTCTGTTTTGTGCATTATATCAAAAATGTAGAAGACTTTGTCCATCATGTATCATCAGGGGATGGATTCCATTTGATCAGAATGGGTGTACTGGGTGTTGTTGTCCAATCTATCGGTTAAGACCATTGTAAAGTTCTTCAGATCCTAATTAATGAAGGACATTGAGCAATAAGAGGCAATCATAGCCTTTCTCTGTTTTATCTATCAGTTGTTTTCTATTACTCATGAATAGTATCTAATTAGTCAAATTTATGCAAAATGTCTCAGTGTTTTTCTGTAAGAATTATATACAAATATGTCTTTTTGCCTTGCTTGTTGCTTTGCAAATGGCTCCAACAAATTCACTGTTAAATTGCATTTGTAAGGCATCCCTTCTTTATTATCTATAAGCATTTCATATCATGAAGTACACCATGGAAAAGAGAACAGAACAGAAGAAGATCAAGAACCTGGAAAGAGCTAACATCAGGGCTGACACATGAAGAGCTCAAGTTGCAATTCCAAGAAGAACTGTCTCATTTCCATATCTGTCAACTTAAGTAAGCAGCTTTCATAATGTTATATTACTTATATTACAAAAGGAGGTTCCATCAGGCATGGCTGGAACTGAAACAACAACCACATATATAGTAATCATTGGTACAGTCCTTAACAATTTATTTCTCTGTCTCGTTATACATGTAATATTAGGAAAGATACCTTCTGTGCATGTTAAAAAACAAGATACTTTTTCAATACGAACCAACCAGTAAGGACAATTCTTCCTAGGTGTCCACACCATAAACCTCCCTCCACCCTATCTATATTGATATCAACATAAATGTATCATTTTTATTGTCACTGAAGATAATATATCACTCTTCTCAGCAACAGGGCAGGGGGACCTCATTGACATTATGCAAAGAAGACTTAGCTCATCTACCTCCACAGCCTCAGAATCCTTACTAATCTACCAAATTCTTGTATTCCTCTCTTTTCTCTTCATGGAAAATGTGAGGCAGGGGGCATTTTCATATACCACATTTTGGCCTGAGCTCAGGCTTCATTTATCTGATTGTTGTCTTGCTAACAGATCTTCCCTCTTCCCCTCAAGGCCAGCTTTTGTATTCACTATAAACTATCATGCCCTGTGAGCAGCCTCCCAGTTTGTACATGTCACCTTGCAGTCTACTGAAGTTCTTGCACTCCCAATAATATATAATACCCAGTGGTCACATTCAAGGGGATTCTGAGATTTATAGCTCTTGGCATATCAAGAATTTGGAAAAAGCTAAATCACATGATAATTCTACAACCTGTAGAAGTAGGAATTAGGGAAAAAAACTACATGCCTCATCCTGACATCAGGATTGTCATTCTTTACTTCTCTGCCTTTCTTACCTTTACAACAGTCTCCAATTCATTGTATTTTTCTACATTACATGTCAGATTTGCCAACATTATTGCTACAATTTTGTATGTTAGTTAGAAGCCTTTAGTTATAAATATTAATTATTCACAAAAGAAACAAAAACAATTTTCCACATGAAGGAGCAATACTGAAGTTCTTTTTAAATAAAAAAAAAATACAAGTAAATATAAGGCTTTAAAATATCAGATCTTGCTTGATTTGTGATAATAAGGACAAGAGTTGTCCAGAAAAGTTAGAAACTCCCTACAAAATGTTTTGATTGGTAAGTCTTAATGTATATTGGCTGCCTCTGCTAATTATTGAGTATTGATTTGATATTAATAGTAGTTTTAAAATGCTAATTGATAAATGCTTTGGGTGTTTTTTTTTCCAGTTTTATATAATTTTAAAATCTCTTTTCAGCTTCTTTCCCCCCCCTCTTTTTTCTTGGTTATGCTTTCAAATAAAATAAGTAAAATAAAAATAAAATAAAATATTATTTTAAATATACAAACAAACATCATCTACAAAACAGCCCTAAAACATGAATGTCCATCTGGACATTCATAACTCATAATTCATTGAAGAAAGACCTTTGTGGATTTTTTCTGGTATAATTACATTTCAAAGATTCAAAGGTGTGTGTGGGTGGTGGTGGTGGTGGTGGTGATGGGTGGGTAGGATGCTTCAGCTCTAGTTGTAATTCAAAGGCAAGTGGATTCAAAGTTATGCAATGTTATTTGTCAGCCGGGACAGTAGAAGCAGGTTGACACAAGAAAGCATCAGGCTTTGAGAGAAATGCAGGCCATTATCTGGCACAGATAAAGCAGAATTTTTTTTAAGAGCAGCAAACATTTTGGTCAGTGCTTATGTTAGCCTTGTACCCATTTATTCCTTAGTGGATGAGTTAAACCTGTCCCACTCATGAGGAATTTAAAAATAAAAGTTGACCCAAGAGACCCGAGGTTGGGTAAACATGAGCCCATATTAAAGTGCTCAGAATTAAGCGCTCAGAGTTAAGGTCAGATATGTTACATTCCAGATCCAGCATGATAAAAGAGCAGAGTTAAGGCTTGTGATTGGCCACATTACAGAAAATGGCAGTTGAAAAAGTAAATGAAACTCAATTCAAGGTTACCTTTATCATCCCAAAAGAGCTCTAGTTGGCAGGCAATTGAATGAAATCATACATGAGATGCTGGTTATTCATGTCAAGGTCAGAGAGTCTGTTACACATCACTTCCACCGAATATTCTCAATGTATGAAAGTGAAATTGCAACAATGTACTTGTCTGCAACACTCCCAGCAGCAGAAAAGCCTCTGAACTTGCAAATCAAATTGAAGTACTGCATATTTATTAAATTTATTACATCAAAATGGGTCTTTGCTTCACCTTGCAAATCTGCTTTGATAGGGTGATTTCAGCAAAAAAAATTGTCGAAGCAAACTATCCTTTCAGAGTTTTACCTTGCCATAATGGATATCTAAAACAAATGAAAGGCATTTTGATACTTAAACCTTAAAATGGCTTCAATTACTTTGCAACAGAAAGCTCATCTAACAAATACTTTCCCCCCTCTGTTTTACTTCATTCACTTTGTTCACATGGGCCTAATGTGCTTATGATATCATGTAAGGTTTCTACACAGAATTCCTCCACAAAGGTGAAAGATTCACCTTCGATTTTTATAAAGGTACAGAAAGAGGGTTTTTTAGTACAGAATTTAAAAAAATATTTTATAGGAAGGAAGGTTTACCTTTCTGACTGGACTCAATATACTCTCTGGAGATTGCATGTTGACGGTGGCTTCATCTCCTGGCTGAGACATAGATGGAATCACATTTCTGTCAAGAGGAAGTGGTGGCTTTTGACCTTCTGATTCAGCAGACTCTTCGCCAATCTTTCATAAAGAAATAGTACATAGATATAATAGTTTATTCAGTCAATGATCAGCAAAATAAAGGAATAATAAGCACATAGTAACAAGATCACTTGCAGTACATAAATGTGGTCATTTATATTATCCAAACAAAAGGATACCTTTCAGGCTTCATATATATGTATATTCTATGTTAACCTGCCTGCATTTGACTGCCTAGATATCCACTGATTTAGATGTTGCTATCCATTTTGAGATTCTTAAATGTCCTTACCCCAACATTTCAGTGAACACATCGCTTCTCAAATGAACTTCATAATACTTTCAAAATTTCTGAGGTTGCTTTTGATTGCATATAAGAGAAATTTATGAGGTTATGGAAACCTGGGAGACCGCCAGTTGCTGGGAATCAGCAGAGTGTAAAAATAGTCCCCAGATCCTATTTTTCTCAGTCATTTAGTTTGAATTTTTGTTGCTGTAACTTTTGTTTGTTCAACATTTTATTATTATTTAAAAAGAAATATTATTTGAATTAAAATATGGTAAATCACATAAATTGCCTTTCAGCAGAAAATATATTAATAAATTTTATAAATAAAAAGATCGTGCTATCTTAAAATAAGATTTCATTATTATTCACCTCAGAGACAGCATTTTCATTCCACTGGTATTTTAAACTTATAATGTTATCTATTATGAAGAGGAAAATGTTTCTTTTACAGAACATTCTCACATCATTTTCCAGGTAATGAATCTGATCATAAATTTTCTCCAAAACTGTAATTTGCCCTGGAAATACCAGATTTCCACCCAGAAAAGGATTAACTTTTTGGGAAGATGAGTTTTATCCAGTTTTTTTTTAAAGAAAAGGTAAAGATTTCTCCTACCAGACATGTCTAGGGTGCAGTGCTCATCCCTGATTCACAGCAGAAGATTATGGGTGTATGGGTGTAGAATTATATAATTATGTATACTTGATAGCAGGCAAAAGGATTTCATTTTTTATGTGTATCGGTTTGCCCACAGTAAAAAATGACAATAAAGGTTCTCTCTCTCTCTCTCTCTATCTATCTATCTATCTATCTATCTATCGTCAGCATTGTCCAAAGATATACTGTATGTGTCATGTGGCCAGAATGACTATATGCTGAAGCCGCATGGAACGCTGTCACCTAGTAGTGGTAGCTATTTATCTACTTGCATTTGCTTGCTTTTGAACTGCTAGGTGGGCAGGACTTGGGACAAGAATGGGAGCTCACTCCATCACATGGTACTTAGGTCTGGAACTGCCAACTTCAGATTGACAAGCCCAGCATCTTAACGGATCGGTCCCCTTACAACATGGAAATATATAGAGAAAATTCACTCCTAATTATAGACTGGGAATTTCTCAGTGGATTCTATTTAATCAATGTTTGGTATAACTTTAATGTAAGTTGACTCTTAGAGTAACATGTCAAGCCACATTCTTTTCATCATGCACTAACTGTTGGTTTGTACCGGTCTAAGAGTCAAGCAATTGTAGGCATCCTACAATCACATCAAAGTAAAAACAGGGCAGTTTAAGATGACAATATTAATCCACTATCCTTTCCTTAATGTTATCTTTGATTTGCATCCCATCTTTCTGATCCGGTAACCATGCTCTGTTCTGAGGAGGCCCAAAACATTTAAAAACAAAAACAAGCATTAAAAAGTAAAAAAAAAAACCCAGCTTTAATAAACATTACAATTATCTAACAATTCTTCCCCTGGAGAAAGAGAAACATCTTTGAAGATTTCCCTAAATAAAAATGAGAGAATGGGAGCCAAACGCAATCTATAAGAAACTGTTCTGTAGCCCTGAAACCTTTGAAGGAAGGATATCTTATAACTCTAATTTTCACGTAAATCTCAATGGAAAGCTTAATCTTTCGAGCCTAGCTTAAAGATCAGTTACCTGATAAACATATCTACTTATTTATTTAAAATAAAGTTAAGAGTTATTCTGTGGTATGATGGATGGCCAATAAATTTTACAAATAAATAAATAAATAAGGTTAAATTAGCAGTTATTTCTTAATCTGGGCTAAATGTCTTTTACTCAATCCTTAGCCAGCCCTGTTTAAGATTGAATATTCATTAACATTAACAAAGAAGCGACCAAATGTGAAGATCAAAAGAAAATAAATCTAGTCAGCTCACTTGCTGTACTTCTTCTTGGTTTTGCTGCTGAACCGTGGCTGGCTGCCTGACAATGTAGTTTATTTGGCCAACAATGGTTTGCTGCACATGCTGTGGCTGCTTGGCCTGATTGAGCTGCAGGCTTGGTTGCTGAGCCTGAAGGAGAAGCTCCAAATCTTTCTTCATTTCCTCCAGTTCAAATTGGTGGTGCATGATGTCCAAGCTCTGTTGTATCACTTGGTCATGAGCCTTCTCATTTGGGCCTGCGGCAGGTGACTGCTGAGGTGAGAGTGGGGGTGGGGGTGGGGGTGGCAATGGATGTTCCTGTTGTGGTGGCTGTGACTGTGACTGTGGCTGTGGCTGTGGCTGTGGCTGTGGCTGTGGTGGTGGCTGTTGCTGTGGCTGCAAATTATTCAGCTTTAACTTCTGCAGGGGACCGCCTTGAACCTGCACTGTTGGACTGTGCAGAGAAGACTGTGCAGGGAGTTGCTGGGAGTGACTACCTTGGCTTTGGTGGCCATCTTGTGATGAAAGGGGATAAATAGATGGAAGGGCATGGTGCATTGGCTGCTCATGGGAGTTCTTGCCCAATCTGGTAGTTAGGCTATCAGACTCTTGGTGAGATTTCTGCTCAGCACATGGCTGTATGCTTTTCAGCACTCGTGGGGCACACCTCTGCTCCCTCTCATGTTGCTGCAAGCTGTACTGCACAGGGAAATGCTGTGGGTGGTGTTGCTGCATTTCAGAAGGCTGGCGGAAAGCCTGAGGATGGCTCACAGTTTGATGAGAAAGCTGCCCTTTGTTCATATGTGGGATATTAAGGCAATGAGTACAGCACATGGGTGCCAGGCAATGGACAGGAGGCTGAAATTGGTGGGGCTGGTTATTGAGTGGGTCATGTTGTGGCACTGGAGAATGATGGCCATGATGGTGATACAGAGATGGCTGTATTCCTTGTATACTTGCATAGGTTGGTACATCTGAATGGTGGCTTGGCCCCCCTTCCATTGACAAGTGGCCTAAAAAGAACAAACCAGAAATAATGTAGGACAGCATCAATAGTCCCCATTTTAAGACTCTTTATACAGAATGGGATGTCTATGGAGATTCTCAGTCATCCATGTCATGGTTGTCCCAAAGGTGCTTTTTCAAGAGGCGATTGGACTTTCTGCTTTTATTTTTTTAAGATTTTTCATTTCTCATCCAAGAAGTTTCTTCAGTTCTGGCAGAGCTGAAAAAGCTTCTTTGATGAGAAGCAAAATGTCTTCAAAGAAAAAGCAGAAAGTCCAGTTGCCCGTTGAAAAAGCACCTTTAGGACATCCAGAATAGAACAATTTCATGTTCAGTAAAAGGTGTAGAGAAGATAGCCATCTAAAAGCTTTCCATCCTGGAATTCTGCTTACCTTATACAATAAGTATAAGAACAGCAGGAAAACAGCACTGATCAACTAAATTCGGAAAGACAGTTCTACTCTAAAAACAGTATTGAGTGAAAATAATGGTTTGATCCAATCTATCAGTCTTCATTTTTCTATAGGCAAATATGAAATCTCTGTAAGTCTGCACTTGAGGTGGCTGACCTATACAGGGATTTAATCCATGACCTAGGCATTATCAGTACCATCAGCAATATTACTAAAATTGTTGATATTTGACCAAATGCTAAGCATCAGGAATCAAAAAAGGATACCGCAAAATGTATATGTAGAGTGTGCCCTTTTCTAATTGCCATCATTGTTGATTGTCTACCCCCAAAAACACTAGACTGAAGGAAGGCATTACAATGTAGTAATCAATAGAATATAAATCCATGGAAGTCCTTAATAATCAAAATAATAATGCAGTGGTTCCAGTGCTTATCAGCACACTGGGTGCATCTGCACATCAACAAAATGTCATCAAAACAGGATATCATATTCCCAGGTTCAGGAGCCTTTCAAAACCCTGAAGACACCAATTTTGAGAAAACTGTCAACAATCTTGTTATGCCATCTAGCCTGAAAATATAATATTGTACTTTTTCTGTTTATCAGTTAAACAGGAGACTGGATCACTAAGATAATCAGAGTTTTATTTCCAATATAGCAACAAGAAGGAAAGTGTTAAAGAATCCCTGGGCTCTGCCAGTCATTTAAAACCCTCCAGTGACCCCAGGGAACCACTGGAACAAAGCTCTTTTATTGGAAAATTCCCAGCCTGCGATTTCTTACAATGGTCTCTCCTAGATTCTGATTTGTGTTCTGTTCTGTCACATCTAAAACATTTTTGGAACTGTAAGAAACAATTCTGAGCTGGCTTCCTCACTCCCTTGGTCACAAAAACATTGGAGAAAGGACAATGTCACATAGGTAACATAGAAATAAAGAACCATTCTCTCTGTCTCTCATTCTCACACACACAAATACATACATTTTTCCAAAAAACTGTATAATTATGCAATATACTTTTTACCTAAATTGGATAGTTGTTTAGTCCAAAAAGATGGGTCCCATGTGAATCTGATCTTCCAAGGACAACCCACATCTGGATTATAATTGGTTTCTAGCAAACGTTGGATCTGAAAAACAATCTAGAGAGAATCCCGAGAATTATAGTTTAATGCAATAAATATATAATTGGCTGCTTATAGCTTAGGACTTGAAATTGGCATCTAGTCTTATATTTCCTTATTGTTCCCATTCACTATGGGCTTGCTTACATGGGCTTGCTTAGATATTTAAGTAAAGATTCCTAAGCTATTATGAACTGAAAAGAAAAAATGAGTAGAATGCCATTTACTATAAAATAAATTATCTTGCATTTAGACAATAGAGTTTTAACTCAGTTTTATCAGCATTAGGAATTTTGGAGGCAACAAAGGTTGTCCACCATAGTAATCAACATGGCTCACATGAAAAGCCATTCCAGAACAATGATTATTATATAGGTAGTCCTCAACTTACGACCACAATTGAGTCCAAAATTTCTATTGTTAAGTAAGACATTTGTTAAGTGAGTTTTGCAACCTTGCTTGCCATAATTGTTACATAAATCACTGCAGTTGATAAGTTAGTAACCCAGTTGTTAAATGAATTTGGCTTCCCCATTGATTTTGCTTGTCAGAAGGTCACAAAAGATGATCAGACGATCTTGGGACACAGCAACGGTCATAAATGGAGATGCTACAATGGTCATAACTGTGAAAAACAGTCGAAAATCACAATGCTATTTTAACTTTGAACAGTCACTAAACAAACTGTTGCAAGTCAAGGACTATCTGTACTTTTTCTTAGAGACTTAATAACTATTTACTTCGGTTGGGATGACTATCTTTATTTGCTTAAAAAATCATTTTAAACATTTTATTCACAGGAACAAGGCACTTTTGACCTATCAGTACTACCTTATCATTGTCTACTTATTTTATTTCTCTCTTCATAATCTTTCATGATCATTCAAGAAAGATCAGTCTGAATAATTCTTATAGCAAACCATGTTCATTTAAAAGGTCAAACTACATTTTAGACAAGAAGCCCATCTAAAGTATCTTGAGGTGAGCATTTACCCTTACCAGCTCTTTACTGAAGAGGAATGGAACGGTGCTTTTACTGCATACTGCCCAGCTAAGGAAGTTTTGCACGTGTTCAAACTGCCTGTTTAGCACCATGATGCTCTGAAGTTGTTGTTCCATTTTTTGCTTCCTTTCACAGGTGATCCGCTGTCAACAATCAGAAACAAAGAAGCAAACAGTTATTTTAAAATATAGTTCGCTTTGTAATAAATGATATCTATATTCAAAATGAGATATAAAAATCCACAAATTAGATCGGGAGTAAATAGCCCTTGCTAAGTCAATAGGCACAAATAAAATGGTTCAAGTCTATGCTTGGCACTCTCAGAAAATGGCTGCCATGGAACAGTGATTTGTTCTTATAACATTTAGGCATGACCCAGTAAGTACGGCTACTCACAAAGAGTACTCTCATTCCCAGAAAAATAAACTGTTTTTGTAGCTCTCTGTCACCTCAAGAATTATACGACTGTTGCTTAGTTTTGTCTCTTTTTCTGTGTAGATGAGCAAGCACTCAACAGAACAGCCAATCTCCATTTTTATTTTTAAAGATGGCCTGTAAGACTTAGAGCATTTCTTGTAAATATAGTTATCAGTAGATGCTGAATTTTTTGTTTTAGTACACAGGCTGATTTATTTCCAATTTAAAAAATCTTTGAAAATTAATTCAGGTTATGATTGAACACTAATGCTTTAATCAACCAAGAGTGGTAGAAGTTAGTTTTCATTCATTCTCTTTTCCTTTTCTAAGCCTAAACAGTACTAAACCTTCAGTACTAAGTTCCCGTAGATCTAGGTTGACATTGTGAATCCCATCAATGGTACAGATCTTATAAATATCTAGCTGTTTCTCTCTCCCAAACTTGGTAATAGCCTAGGGAATTGCCAGACTTACTTACAGAATATAAATATCCTTCCAAGTTTTATTTTCCCTCATCTAGTGTCAGCTTTCCCAGGTAGATCAGACAGGAAACATAACTAGGTGAGCTAATTCTACTTTACTGTAAGGCTACATTAAGAAAATCTTGCAAGTCTGATAGTTGAAATTTCCCACAGTCTTTTCTTATAGTATGGGTTTCTTTCTTTGCCTATGTCCTCTCTTATCTAAACATTCCCTAGGAGGCATTTTCTTCCCTCCCCCAATCTCTCAAATCAGTCTCACAGATTATTATAACTAGTGAGTTTATCAACCAATCAATGCTGCAGTAAATTGGCATCTCCTGCCTCCTTATCTTCTTAGTTTCAAGAACCATCCTATTTACCTCCAACTGTTCAAGGAGAACATTTGTCCGCTTATTTATTTCACTGATCAGGACCATTTTGGCCATTTTGATCTGATTTTCTATTTTCCGTTGCAAGTGTTTTGCTTCAAACAATCTGTAGAGAGAGATTAACAATTTCAATAACTATAATCATATTTCAAAATGTTTGGAAGAAATCATATTTATGGAGGTTAAAAATGTGATTAGCTGCTTATTTATGATGTAAACATGTGCAGAATGAATTTGTATATGGATTTAGGGCCTGAATTTTTCAAGCTGCAGGATGCATTGATTCACCTAATATTTACTTTTTAGCATTTGTACACATTTAAATGGTATACTTAATGGGCTTATCATTTTTTTCTCAAAAGTGAAGAATAGTTTTGTCAATATTAAGCACTACATTTTTAAATTTTATTTGCCAGGACTTTTGAACAATTATTAATTGTATGGGAAACATACATATAACATTCAATATTACACATAAGTGTAATATCACACTTATGTGTGCAATATCACACATAAGTGTTTCAATTTAATTTTAAGAGTATTTTGGTATCTATTTTCACATCCTGAAGAAACCCAACCTCAGCACTTTTTTCTCACAATGTAACTTTATACCCATAGAACATGGGTTCATATTTTATGAATATTTATGAATGTTAAAAATCTATTTTTAACCTCCATGAATATTTCAGAAACTGAATAAACAAAAAAAGTTATTGAAAACTTGTCACCATATAGGTTATACTGACAGTGTCCTAACCTGTACTAAGTTACTTACTACGCAGTAAGTCATAGTCTATACCAAAGTTACACCTCTGTAAACATCAGAAAAATGTCACTAAAGAAATTAGATTAAAAGAGGAATCTTTAAAAATATGGAATGCTGAAGGTTGATACGAGGATTGTCTCATAGCTGAGGATTATTAGTTAGTGCAGTGCAGCTACGGTGGTGTTTGAACAATAGCATGACTGCATGATGTCAATCCACAGTGAAAGACGCTCTGAATTTGAATGAATAGGGAATTTATAGAGTTGCAGAAGCAGAGGCACCAAATCATTCTCTATGTAGTCCCAGGAATTAACTCTTAGAATTACAAATCAATTTGTCAATGAAAAAAGCCATTACAGAATTCATCTTCTTAAAAGAGGGATCTCCTCAGTTACCTGTCTTCAATATGTTTAGCCGAGACTTGCATTACATTTTTTTTCTCTTCTACTTTGCAGGTTATGTTTTCCAGGATAACCCTTTGATTTTGCAATGCTTCTTGAAGATGCCTGAATCTAAGGGAAAAAAGAAAAGTCTTTGAAGTTTTATCTTGGTTCAAGAGGTCAATCAGATAGTTTCCCTAACAGTCTGCCAACCCTCCTCTTAAGCTCGATCCCTTCAAACTTCATTTCTATTCTCTCTTCCAATTCCATAAGAATTTAACAGTAACTCTGTATTCCTCAACAACATACTACATAGCAGAGATGGGCAGCATATATTTCTTGGCCTAATTTTAGGCATGTGTGGGAAGCCTAAAGCCAGAGAAAGTGGGCAAGAAGAAAATAACAATAGCAATAGCATTTAGACTTATATACCACTTCATCGTGCTTTACAGCCCTCTCTCAGCAGTATACAGGGTCAGCATATTATCCCCAACAATTTTACCTTGAAAGGATGAGTTCAACCTTGAGCCAGTCAGAATCGAACTCCTGACAGTGGGCAGTGAATTAGCCTGCAATACTGCATTCTAACCACGGTTCTGATATAAAGGAGAAGCCTCTCCGGTGATTATTTCAGATCTAGGCCTATATCAATGAGAATCTATGGAGATTCTCAGTCATCCAGCTTTTTGCTGCAAGGACTACACTGGGCAAGCACCAGGAGTCAAGGCACAAAAATGAAAAAGGATAAAACCTCTCTCTCCATGGTTAGAGAAAAAAGAAAAAGAAAAGGATGGCAAGAACAAAATAGGTGGGAAACAGCAACGACAAAAAAGGAAGTTGTATGCTGCAACTGCCCAGAGTTGCTGTTACAGAGAGGGTGGCATATAAATGTAATAAATAAATACATAAACAAAATAAAACCCTATTATGTATTTTTTATTCTAGTCCTGCTTACAATGAGCAGAGCCTCAAATGTACTTGCATTGGCCATATTGGCCCACTGATTTAGTGGGACAGAGAAGCTTCCCTGGGGTGGCCAGGAATAGGAGCAGGCACGTGGGTGTTCACAAACTGAAAGGAGGGAGGACTTCCAGCAGGTATAACTTGCTTGAAAAGTTATACCTGCTCCAATTCTCTTTTCTGCCTAAGTCTTAAAAAAAGAAGGGACCTTGTCTTGTTATACCAAGCCATCTTTGGGTGAGTCAACATGGCAATTTTGATTTTCTACCTGTGATCCTTGTGCTCTGTCAGGAGGCAGCAGCGACAGGTAAGGACGTCACAAGTCTCACAAAACAGCTTAAGCCTCTCTTGGCTGTGAATTGGACAAAACAAGGGATATTCATTGGCTTCCCCTTCAACTCCTGAAAAAGAAAACATTGCCATTAAATAAGAACAGTTGCAATTGCCTACAACATCAGTTTCAGGCAACAAGCTGTCACAACACATGGACTGGTAGTCAGTTGAACCGAAAAAAGTGGACCCTGCATTTTGCGAGAAAAATTCTAGGGGATAAAATGCAGATATAACAACATGTTGAGGTTGATTTTTAGAGAAATATTGGTTTAAATTTATGATTACTAAATGGTCTTATATAGTAAATTCTGAAAGTTAACACAATTAATCTTGGGTTGTCAGGAATCATGTATTTTCATATCCATCAAATTTCAAGCTCATATGTAAATCATCTAAATTCTTCATAAGCAAATATCATAAATTTATTATGCTTCACTATTTCAATTTTGAACTGAAATCATGCCTTCAAAATACACTATGTTCCTCCTCTGGAAGGAGCTAAAAAAAAAACTAAATTAGAACACACATTTAGGTGAATCCACAGAATTTCAGAACCTTTTTCAGTTTCTCTTTGGTGATTTTCAGAAATTTTTAGGAAGGATATAGAAATTCTACACCAGCAGCCCGTAATCTTTTGGGCACCAGGGAACAGTTCTGTGATGAGAGGTTTTTCCACGGGGTTGGGTGGGAGTTCTGAATTCTGTTGAGAACTGCAACACATTAGATAAGGGAGTGTTTCTGCACATAACACAGGTCCTATAAGTGAATTACAGATATATTGTTCAGCATCAGAATGGGAATAAACATGAGCAGGTTCCATTTCTACCTGAACATCCCTTCAAGGAGACTGGCAAAAAATGTTCTCCAGTTTCTTTGCTATGGCTGTGTTCTTCTGTACATAAGCTACAAAGCCACTTGTTGCAGTTAGTACACAAACTATGTGCAGGTCTCTTTTCTTTACAACCAGAGCAGTTCTGTAACAGATTCAAACAGGAGAAAAACAGAATTACATTGGGATTACTCCCATTAGCTGACAGAGTCATTTTCTCAATATAATGCACATTTGGAAGTTATTCTTTTTAAAGGTGGCATTTGCTGTTTAATAGGTCAGCAGTGGTTTTAAGCACATATAACTATGATGGCACAGGTCATCTCTTTACTAGCATCTTATAGCATTATCCAGCCTTTGAAATTAATAATTTAAGGCAGGATTTATATCACTATAGTGATAGTTGGCTATGAGATAATATAATTCACTGGAGAGAAAATAGTCTTAATGGACAAAGAGATTTCCATCTCTTAAACACTATGTAAGAGAGGGGAAAAATCAGGGGATGGTGAATTCACACAAATAAAATGTTAAATTGTGCAGACCATTCTTTCTGGTAATATGTGGGTTGCAAACTTCCTTGATCATCAAATCAAAGAAAGTCCTTTTTCAGAGTTCATCCAACTAAATTGAGAAATTTTAGAGACACCCAGTGACATGTTTCCAATAGAGAATGTAAAGCTTGAGCACCTTATCTAGTGGCTGAAGTAAATAACATATATTATTTGACATATCACATTTCTAAGCTATTTAAAACAGAAGTATGGGATTTCTGGCTCTCTTATTATGACTGTATGAGTGCTTAGCATCCTTCATTATCAGCCATGCTAACCGGGGTTGCTGGGAGTTGAAGTTTAATAAAATTTTCCATCCTTTGTTTTAATGGCAACATTTAGCGTTCTGCACCATACATTGCACCATGCAAAAGAAATGGAGAAACAAGCACATGACCCGTTCTTCTTGATCTCTCTAACTATATTTAATTCACATATTCAGTGAATGGATAAGGAGTCTGAAAATTCAGGTACAGGAAGCTTACAATAAATTAGGAAACTTTTACATGTATGAGACATATTTAAATTATTTCATCATATCCTATGTGTTTCTTTTCACCTCAAAATATATGGGAAGTAACAGGTAAGGGTATCATTTCAGCCTTAAACTCTTGTTCTATTTTCTAACCAGTATTTATCAGAATTCAAGCATAGCCTTGAATTCCAAATATATATTTTGCCTTGGAAAATATAAATATTTTCCAAGGCAAAATATAAATATATCCAGTCAAACACCTGTTGCAATTTTTAAAAAATGAAAGCAAATGAAAAGTAGCAGATTCTCATGATCTTGTTCTCCCTAACTAATAGCTATGCTTTTAGACTGATAATTCCTTGAGTGATATGTGTGTGGGGAAACCCACAAATTCCTCTTGAAAAAGTTATTTTCAAGTTGGCAAATCATAAGTGGGATGTCTGTCTTTAAATGTCTTTTTCTAAAGCCCATGTTCCTTTTTTCAGGTTTCCCTTGATTCATTTTGCAAATGAGTAATAATTATTTAACAGAAGTACACACCCCTATACTACCCAGAAAAATGCCTAAAGTCTCATGGAACTCTTTGGAGTTTGTAGCACAAATATAGTTAATCATAAATCTAAACTTCAACTAAAAGTAGAGTGGCCATGACAAGTAATGTATATAAAATTCTTCATCTCTAGATCTTACTACAGTACTGCCGGGAAAAAAAGAACCAAATCTAGAGTGTGACCACCTATAACTTTTGAGCTATTAAAGACTGAAATTCTTCATCATTAGCTACCATGAAACCCTGAGCTGCTGTAACCATTATGGCCTCAGCCTGGATATCTAAATCCATCAGAACTGCAACCTTTGGTGTCTTCAACAGAGTCCAGTTCCCTGTTACCTAGGCTTCCTTTGTGCGATTACTTAGAAGAGGAAGTCCCTCTGGGAATTTGCCCGAATTAGACTGACTGAAAGCTCAGGAAAGCTTTTCTGTGCACTCTCAGCCTGAGCCAGACTGTTGCTGAAGTAACATCTCTCTTGGGGCTCTGAGATCCTGTTTGTTCTTTGCCAGCTCTGAGGTTCATACTGTAAGTTTTATCAGAAGTGAGACAATGGAGAGTAAGAATTGTCTTTGGGGAAAAGACCAAGGCTAGGGTACAGTAGTTATTCCTTGCTATTCAATACTTCTATACATGTTTTTCAAGTCATTACAAGTCATTGACAATCTGTGTCATGTATAGAAATCAAATATAATTTGCTCTGATTCTATATCCCTACACAATTGTGACAATACAATTAATGGAAGTAAACACCAACTAATAAATGCTCTGTCCTGCACAATTGGCAAAAAAAATCAGAACACCAAATACAAGTTGGGTGAAAACAATCTTGTAACCAACCCTCACTTTGCCAAGGACCTAGGAGTACTCATCTCAAACGATCTAAGCCCCAGAGCTCATTGTAACAGCATTGCCAAAAAGGCATTAAGAGTTGTTAACCTAATCTTGCGAAGCTTCTCCTCCGGTAACATTGTATTGCTAACTAGGACATACAAAATCTTTGCCAGGCCAATTCTTGAATACACCTCATCCGCCTGGAATCCACACTGTATATTGGACATTAACATGATTGAGGGGTCCAGAGGTATTTCATGAGAAGAGTTCTCCACTCCTCTACTCACAATAGAATCCCTTATGCCACCAGGCTTGAAATTCTCGGCTTGGACAATCCGGAACTGCGCCATCTGCGGTCCGATCTAAGCATACTACATAAAATTGTCTGCTACAATGTTTTACCTGTCAACAACTTCTTCAGCTTCAACCACAATAATACACAGGCAAAACAATTGATACAAGCTCAAGGTAAACCGCTTCAAACTCGATTGCAGAAAATATGACTTCAGCAACAGAGTGGTCAATGCCTAGAATGTTCTACCTGACTCCATTGTTACAGCCTCAAACCCTCACAGCTTCAACCTCAAACAGTCTACCATGGACCTCACCCCATTCTTAAGAGGTCCCTAAAGGGGGCGGGCATAAGCGCACCAGTGTACCTACCATCCCTGTCTTATTGTCCCCATTTATCTGAACTTACTTTGTTTATGTTTATGTATATACCTATACCTACTATCTTGTACATGTTTGACAAACAAACAAATAAATAAAATAAATACATTTTAGCAGTGGATGCAGCATAAAAATTTGAAAACTTCTACATTATTTAGCTCTGATAACAATGAAAACCCATCCTGTATAACATGTGCAGACACATGAAATGTATTTTATTAAGGAATTCATGGCTGAGCAGGACTAACCATTTCTTTTTAAACATGACTGCTTCTTTCAAACCACAACTACTGATCAACAAAAATGTATGCCCTGAGTATCTCCTTCTTTTGCTTCAAAGTGGCAATGGACCAATAACAACAATAAAAAACATTGATGGAATTCAACCTATGCTCAGAATTCAAAAACTATTTTGTAGATAGAACATAGTAGACTATTACAATGAAGAATAGAAACTCCCAGGCATATCCCTATTATATAATGAAATATTAGGCTTTAAAGTTTGTTAAACTGAAACAGAGTAGATTACTTAATCCACTAAAGAAGAAGCAACACATGGTCTATAATAACTGATTAAATTATTCAATTCAACAGTGTGTTAAATTTTCAAAATAAAAAAACATACTGTCAAGAACACTTAATTAAAGATATCTACGCTAATAATCCTGAGAATTTATTTTTTGGATTAAGAAATGATTAAATCAGATTCTTTTATAAAAATTTCTTTTTAGAACCCCAACAATCAACAGGAGCTGGACTATTTATCCAAATTTGTACCATTCTTAAAGCATAAAAACTCTGAAGTTACTTAATCTGTACGAGGCATACCACTTATTAAACAACTATACCCCATACTTACTCTTGCCATGTCTGGCTTTTTTGTGGCAACAATTCCTATGAAAGAAATCTTCTATGATACAACATTCCTTGGTACAGTAATATAGAAGTCATGTACAAAATCGATGCTACCTACATAAAAAGAAGGAAAAAAAACCATCAACACAATTCAGAAAATCACATTTGAACACATTTTACATATTTGTCTTGAAATCTTAAATGATCATATATGCACCTAAGAATTCAGTATTTATGAAGAATTTCGTACACAGAATAAAGGTACCTGGCTAGTACAGACCCTGATTGCTTGTTGAATGTATTACTGTATAATAACTGCATTGCTACATAAAATCAAGCCAAGATTTTAAAATCACGATTTATTGAACAAATCATGGTAGCCTAGTTCATATATGACATCACACCAGAATGGTTGAATTTATACACCATGCTAAGCCAAAAAACAATAATACCTCAATTACACATAACATGAACTTGTTTTTAAATGTCTTTCTTTCAAATTATGCATCACTACCATCATATTTGTTCCATGCTCTTCTAGAGAAAGTTCAGGGAAACTCACATGGGAGTATTTCTTTCACAACAAGAATAATGGCTAAGTGATGAAAGTAGGAAAGAAAGCTGTACTTTACTTGAAATGTATGAATGAGCAGAAAGGCAAACCTAAGATTTCCTTGTTCAGGTATCCATTAAAGAAAGGATAAGAGATAGATAAATTTTGCTCTTACATAGCATCTCATTTCTTTCAGAAAATATATGGAAGTAAATAAAGATGAAACAGTTAACTGAAACCCAAATTTTGTCAATGTATTAAAATTTAAAATTAATACATTTCTTAAGATAGTGGATTCTTACTTTTTTAAAATGTATTTTCAGTATTATGATGTTTTTCGTAGTAGCATTACTTGGAGATGTCCTTATCACTTAACAAATGTAAATAAGAAAACAAAGGAAATATGAGGACAATTATGTTGTGTTACTGACCTACTCACATAATATGGACAATATCATTTTTCCACATTATATATTTATTTGATTTATATTATTCTTTCAAGTCAAAATAAGCATTTAAAACAAATTTATCTGATGGCCTTGGAGCCTTATTTTTTAATTTCATAACTGTTTTGAGTGATTATGCACAGATTTCACCAAACTGTGAAATTGTAGCAGGAATACCTTATGGAAGATTCTGGAAACTATACAAAGATAACAATCAAAATAGCAAATTGAAATTATTTTCTGACTACCATAAGTTTTATGTATGAAGTAATTGGCTTTTTCATTGCTTTTGCTTCGTATTATTCTTATAGCATCTGTGATGATGACTCTGAAATTAATTTAAATAAAAAGCATCAACTAAATCAATCCTTTTGTATTTAAAAACATTTAGTACAAATCTAGAAGCCTGGGAGAAATTTCTTAAGAGTAAATGATAGACATCTTCACTTATTGTTCTAAATCAAATTTCAGGATAGAGATAAAAATTAAGTAATGAAAACCTCCACTGATTTGACTAATCTAGATATATATAAAAGTGAAACACCACTCATGCATCATCACAAAATCTCTAGAACCGTAAAGCCTACAAACTTGAAATTTGGCACGTATGTTTCTCTTGGCTTCTAGGTGCTCACTAAGAAAGGACTTTTTGAAATGACCATCAGAGCATTAGTATTTTGTATATTATTATTAACACTCTCTGATGCTAAGGAGTTCTACTCTCCCTCCCCATACAAAAAGAAATCTGTTCCAAATAAAAAACACAAGCAGAGGAGAGGAGTTTCAGTTTTAGTTTCACAGCACCAAGCAGCTTTAGTACAGAACGCTTGAGTTAAGCCACGCCCAGGCTCCTTGGAGTCTTCTTCTTGCTCACACACTAAATACTGTTTCAGTTTCCAAACAGGACATTAGTCAGATGAATACCAATGGATGCTGGTAGGCAGAGGCAGATTTTTTTTCCTCCTTATTTTCCTCCCAAAAAACTAAGCTGACCACATAATATCCTAGAGAAGCACAGGTATCGAGCTAGTTTATTTATATAGCTACCCATTTGTCAAGCAAAAATAGAAGATTGAGGATACAACTGCCATAATTCCTATTTTACAAAGGGCAATTACATTATATTACGTTACATTAAAGAGGCATCAGTCTACTAACTGTAAGTATCCTCTAAGTCAGTGGCCCCCAATCTTTTGGGCACCAGGGACCAGTTTTATGGAGAGAGGTGTTTCTGCAGACTAAAGTGGGTGTGGTTTCATGTGCTGCCTGCATCTTACGGATGGGGCTTCATTTGGTTTGTGCGGCCCAGTTTTTGGCATGCCGCAGCCTGGTGCCAGTCCACAAATGGGACCCCTGCTCTAAGTAAAAGAGTAGGCCAGTCTTGGTTAAAGAACTGAAAGGAGGAAAGCAGCGGTTGTTCAGTTGCCCATCAGGACTTATCACTTGGGCAGGACACAGAACAGACTTATAGTTCACTTAATCGGTAGCTTTTCTACTGTTCTATGTCCAGCACCTTAACTGAGCATAATAGTTTGTTGAACTTAGACTGGGGAAATCCAAATACAAGTCCCCACTCAACCACAGAGTGGCATAAAGCTCTCCCTTCTGTATTTTTGAACAAAATTTTCCCAGGCTGACCATTCTTCCATGTGTGAATCTGGGAAGACTGAAACAATACAACACATTTTGTTACACTGCACCTTTTTAACATATCTCTGTAATAGTTTGCCCTAGCCAAGTAAGGACAAAGGAGAATTTGTGCCAAGCATGATATAAAATAACATTAACTACATAAAGCAAAACATTCATTATGTTAATGCAAACATAATCAAGCTGTGTGTTATTAATGCATCTGTGCTTTTAAAAAAAATGCTGATTTATTATCATAAATAAATACTGTGACTATTCATGGAGCTCATTTAGTGACTTTGGGCCAGTCACTTTGTAAAAGACGTATTAACAAGATTGTTATTATGAGGGGACCTCCGAGTTAGCTGACTAACACTCTTAAGAGAAAAAACAGTATAGATAAGCAATAAATAAATACATATTTCAATTATTTAAATAAATACATATTTACATTAAATTATATATATGTGTATCATGTATTTAAGTTAGCATATGAAAACTTTATGCAAATTGATGTCATATCTTTACTTCTTTTTGCTGATGCGCTTCCATGGGGGGACAATGCAAAGATGCAGGGAAGAAAACCTAGCAGAGGAAAATTCAGCACCTCCTTCCCCTCTCTATTCTGCTCAAAACAAATCACTCTTTCTGGTGACTTCTTGTATTAAATCAAGTGGCCATTATAAACACATAAAATCAATATACAAATGTGTTACTAAACCATTATTATACATTCATGCAGGCACAGTATCTGAAAATCAGAATAACTAGGACAAATTTTTAGACTTTATTGGAGAAAAGACCTAGCAAATATATCAGTTGTTCCAATGTTTGCTTCCTTTTTAAACCATTTAAACTTTGTTTTTTAACTAAAACAATTTAAGTAAGATTATTTTTCTTGACAGCTGGCGGCTCTACAGTACAATTCGTTGGTGCTGACAGCTGGAGTTCTGATGCAGAATAGAAATGCATAATGCCCTTGTGGGGACTTGTATTTTAATAGAACAAATTAAAAAGCAGTCTATGGAAATATGCTCTAATTTGCACTCGTCTCTGCCTAACAACTGTATCTGAAATGGTGTCCCTGGAATTGCTATGTGTCAAAATTAGGTTAGATGTATTTCACCAATGGGCAGATCTTTGAAAGCTTGTACTGTACAAATGTGATACAGGGGGAAGAGCCCTCATCCCCCCCAAAATTGTGACAAGTTCAGTACAAAGATATAGTTTAAACAAATAAACATCTGAATTGGTCTATCGTTCCCAATCAACAAAGCTTCTGGACAAGGACAAGTCAGGTGATTATGACCTTCAGGCCTTTTAGGTAAGAAAAGAAGCAATGGCAACAGCAGCAGCACTCCAAATATAACTGCTAGTATAGCAGACATAATAAAGCAAAGTCAAGACATATGCAGTTAGTGCATTAATCAGCTTCTCTCTCTCCCTCTCTGCCTCTGCCTCTCTCTCTTTCACACACACACATACCCCCCAACTTTTACCTTTTGATCAGCTATCTAAATATTATTCCATCTAGTTTTTGGTTGGTACATTGCTGTCTTTATCTCACAGAGAGAGAACAATTGCCCTTCAGTTATTCAAAGTCAGAGCATCACCTACTTCCATTACTTGGTAATTTTAAACCTGAGCACCGAAGAGATGCACCACTCTCCTCCCACTCCACATGCCTGATGGCTGTTACCTTTTAAATCTATATATTATTTAACCATCAATACCTTTCCTATTGGAATGGCTATTCAAAGTTCATCAGCATACCTTTAAGCAAGTCTGGAAAAATAACCAGGCAATAAATCGTAACTGACAAGACAGCTCCTCTGATCAGTAATGTTAAGGGCTTATGATCCCAAGCTCTGCACAATTTCTTCAGAAAAAAAAAATACTTCTCATGTTTCCTTACCTGTTCTCTTTTTAAAGTGGTTCACTTAAGAGTCTCTTGTTTGAGGAAATGGGTTGTTACTAAGCAGACAAGCATGCACAGCATAATCCCTGGAAACAGCTTTCACTGTTCAGCATCAGGCTTGGTGCTGCGAGAAAAGGGTTAGACCTTCACGTGCAGCATCTGCAGGTTCACTCATCTTTTCTTTTCTTTCTTTTTCTCTCTGTTAATGCCCACTTCAAAAACTAAGCAACACGGTTAGGTGCAGAGATCACTGAACAGGTTTGTTTTTCTTCTCTTACATTTAGACCTCCTCTGAATTATTTTCCCTGTTTTCTGGAAGAAAATACAATTCCACAGTCAGGTAAGAAGTTCAGCAACGTCTCTTTTGTCAAGTAGATTTTTTTTCCAAAGAAAGTCTCTCAACATATTTCACAATAAATTCTCACAAAGGGAAAGTACAGTATAATGCAGCAACCCAAATTACAAACAATTGTTTACAGTCAGGTATTTCATTCAGTTTCCTACCCATCAAAGTGG